AAGAATGTGTTCAGAAAAAAACTCCAGTTTTTAGGAAGAAGTCTGAGAGTGAGGCCATCTCTGCTCTGTGTTGGTGCACAACTGGCATGAAGAATCTGCCCTAAGAAGAAGACTGGGAGTTGTGGAAGGGACTGGGACTTTCACACTTGGACAGCCCTGCATTTGAACTTGCAGTTAGAGAAATATGTAGTACTATCCCAACTATGTGACCTCTTCCAGAGCTTTCTGTAGTTTGCTCCGACAGACTCTTTTCCTGATACCCAACTCTTTTTTTTTTTTTTTTTTTTTTTTTTTGGTTTTTCGAGGCAGGGTTTCTCTGTATTGTTTTGGAGCCTGTCCTGGAACTCACTCAGTAGACCAGGCTTGGTCTCGAACTCACAGAGATCCACCTGCCTCTGCTGGTGGGATTAAAGGCGTGTGCCACCACTGCCCTGCCAATACCCAACTCTTAATATTTGGTGGCACCAGACTTCATCAGCACCACTGGGAGTGGTAGAGTGACTCTTTTCTTCTGCTAACCTTAGGAAAAGCTCAGCTAATTCTGTGGCACCAAGTGAATTACTGGGGCCATTCAGATTTTATTCCAAGAGTCCAATCTGAGTTTCTAAAGGAACAAGTTGTCCCAGCATCCTCTCTCAGAGACTGCTTCTTTCTTCATCTCTCTCAAACCCAATTACACACAGATAGGCTCATGGCTCTATTATTCCTTGGGTCATTTTATATGTTGATTTTTCTCGATATTCTTGTACACATGAGTTCCAGCAAGGGAGCTTGAAACAGTGGTCACATTATATTCACAGTCAGGAAGCAGAAAGTGGGACTGGAGAGATGGCTCAGCAGCTAAGAGCACTTACTGCTCTTTCCGAGGCTCTGGTGAACAATTCCCAGCGCTGGCATGGGGCTCACAACCATCTGTAGCACTCGGCCCTCTTCTGGTCTCCGTGAGCATCAGACATGCATGTGATACATACACAAGTATACAAGCAGGGCCACATCCATACCCATAAACTCAAAATAAAATGAATGTTTTATAACTCAGAGAGTGGTGAATACTTGTGCTCCTCTCATGTTCTTCTACAATAAAGGATCTACAGTAGACCAGTCTTTCTACCTCTACTAACCCCCTTAAGATAATCCCAACAAGAATGCCTAGAGGCCCACCTCTTAGATGATTCTTGATATTACCAAGTTGACCACCACCAGGATCAGCCATCACACTGCATAACAAAAGCGATATGGTGAGTGTTAAGACCAGTTAGGGTGGACAGTCCCATAGGATATACAGAAGGGATACAAACCTTGTCCTCAGAAGCACGCATGTGCAATGTTGATCTGTGCCATTCCATGACTTCATTGTGCATAAACAAGAATATATATGTGTGTCTCCTTCAAGTCCAGACCTTCAAAAAGTGTAATCAGCCATTTCAGTTTGCTGCTCTCCTGGGAGCACAGAGTTTCTGTTGTTTTAGTGCAGAATCAACCTGTGAAGGTACAAACCCTGATGCTTCTGATGCTGCTCATCATTCTGAGGCAATATGGAGGTATGTGGTCTCTCCCTGGCATCGTCCAGGGAGGTGCCTGCAAACTTGGGGCTCTGGTGACTACAATCCTAAATAACCTCTGAATTTACTAAAGAAGAATGGGCTGTTTCAGTTGCCTTCTTTAATGTCAGGAAGTAAACAGAATAGAGGTGTTTAAAGATTATAATATTTCCAGAGAAGAGGTTAGCAATTTCATGTATTTCTGGAGCTTGTAGACTAAATGAAGCACCCCCTTCTTTTGTTAGTAGGGGAAGTATTTGACCAATGCTGTGGTTTGAATGAGAATGGCCTTCATAGGCTCATATGTCTGAAAGTTTGGTGCCAGTTAGTGGAACTTTTTAGGAAGGATGGGAAAGAGTGTCCTTGCTAGAGGATATGTGTCACAGGGGAGTGGACCTTGAGATTACAAAAGCCCACTCTAGGCACAGTGTCTTTCTCTGTGACTTCTGTCTGTGGACCAGGATGTAAGGCTTCTGCTCCATCTGCATGCATGCATGTCTGCTTTCCACCATGATGATCAAGGACTCACCCTCTAAATCTGTAAGCAAGCTCCAAGTTGGTTAAATGCTTCATTATATGTGTTGCCTTAGTCATGATGTCTCTTCATGGCAACAGAACAGTAACTAAGACATAAGAGAAGATGATAAAGTCTACAGACAAGTAGTGATGACAGTCAGGTAGCACTTTGGCTACACCTGTTGTTACAGAACAAATTAATTAGAGAAATAAGAAGTAATCTGTGTATATTCTATCACAGTAAAAAAAATTTCCTAAAAGAAAAAAAAGAGGGCCAGGCTGTGGTGGCACACGCCTTTAATCCCAGCACACAGGAGGCAGAGGCAGGCAGATCTCTGTGAGTTCGAGGCCGGGCTGAACCGACAGCCTCCAAAACAATACAGAGAAACCCTGTCTTGTAAAAAAACAAGAGGAATTTCAAGGATTTGTACTAATGGTGTAGATACAGGAAGGGAGGTGTAGATTTTGGAGACTTTTGAAGGGACGGCTCACAGCATTTCTCACTAACTAGATGGAACAGGTGAGAAAAAAATGAGGAAAAATGCAAATGAAACATTCTGATCCGTAACTGTTGCTCCTAAGAAGCAGCTTGCCTGGAACAGTAAATGACAAAGATATGCACACAGTGGTTCCATTTGTCCAGCTGTCAGGGATGACTTGACTTTGTGCTCCTCTGATTGCCCATAAGTAGAAGAAGAGCCAATTAGACCCAATTCCTTAGTGCCTACAATCTTAGCTTTTCCATCATATACATAACTACTTGTCAATAACATTTAAATTAGCAATGAGTTAAATTGATAGGTAGCATTAATGTCTCATGGTGGTCAAGACCTTACCTTGTGCTATGATTTGCACGCACAATGTCCCCTACAGGCTCATGGGGTCTCCTGCTCTTTGGAAGGTTATGGAAGCTTTGGCAGATGAAACTCAACTGGAGGAAATAGATCTTGGAGGGGATAAAGTGGGAGTTCTTAAGGCTAAGAGCCCAACCCGACCTCCTGTTTCATCTCTAAACTAGCCAAATGTGAGCAAGCAGCCTCTCATGGCAGCTGACATAGCTGTGATCTATTCTGGTCTCCATGCCTTCTACTTAAACAGTGAGCCCAAATCTACACTTCTTCCTTGAGGTTGTTTCTGATCAGATCTTTAGAAACAACTAGAAAGGTAACCAATACACCTGGGAAGTGAGTTCTGATCTAACACATGTTCCATTTAGAGCAAAGAAAAGCCTCACTGCTAACCTTTTCTTGTGTTTTTCTTTAATGGGGCATATAAGCCTACAGGAAGTTCCTAGATGGGAGTTTAAAGAAGAGAACACTATTCCAAGGCCTGGGGTTCCCTGGGGCACTAACAGGAGCTCCCAGAGCAAGAATGGAAAAAGCAATAAGAAACTAAGTTTTAACATAGCCATTAATTAAGTTATAGTCTAAAGCCTATTAGAATCCATTAGTGCTTTGTCAGCTACTACAAAGTGGAACTTGGGCTTTTTTTTAACTACCAATTCTCAGGAGGAAAGATTATGCAGTTTAAACATAAGACAGTGTTTTCCCAAAGTTTTTACTTGAAGCGCTCTGTAAACTTTAAGTGTCAAATAACAAGGGAAGAGGTGAAATTTTTGTATTTATCAAAGGAGATGGGAAAAACAAAATTTGCTGATGTGTGTATGTTATTAACATTCTGCTGGCACAGACCTCATCACTGAGGAAGTGGGTGTAATGGAGTGTGGAAAAAACCAGGAGGGGGAACAAGAAGAAGGAAAATTTCACTCTTAAGTCCACTGACATGCAAGCACCACACATGCTCAGCTCTTTAATATGATCACATTTAACACTCAAAATACCAAGAGGTTTGGGTTCCAGGATGTCAACTTAGGCTCTGAGTGTTGGTTATCAATTACTGTATAGCAAGTTATCACAAGCTTAGTGCATTGAAACAGTGTACATCTACAAACTGTAGTGTCTCTCTGTTGGAGCCGACATTTGGGTACCATGATCATCAAGGAGCTAAGCAGGTGTGGTAGGTCCCCAGGACCACAACTAGGGAAAGATCTTCCCAAGGTCCCTTATATTTTTGCAGAATTAATTTCACCAGGGCTTTGGGATAGAGGCAGCTTTGCCTTGAGAAATATGCAGTTAGACAGTTGCTCCATTCTGTGTAACCTCAGGGACCACAACAACCTTAGCTGAGTCAAGTAATAGATCCCTGTTAAACTCAAGGAGAGAAGATCACACTATGGCAAGAATACAATGGAGGGACACAGAGGCTGTCCTATAGTGAGGGCGTATGATGGCATATTCCTGTAATCCTGGCCTTTAGGAGGTGTATTTGGGAGAACTATGAGCTTGAAGACAGCCTGGGCTACATAATGGACATTTTCCTAGTATTTGCAAGGTCCCTCTGTAAAGCCAGCCTTGGAAATTCTAAGACAGGGACAGGGGATCCCAAAAGCAAGCTGGCCAGCAAAACAAACCATGACTTAATCTGGAGTTAAGAAACTTAGCTTCATTGGAAAAGTAGAAGCGAGATATGGGGGATGACTTCTGATGTCAACCACAGGTCTCCACATACCACCCTGCCACTCACACATGTTCACTTGAAAATGTAAAATATAGCTAAAATCTAATAACATATACATAGTATCATATACATGATCCTAGGTCTTTCTTCCTCCAAAGGCTATGCTGTTTGAAATATAGCCCATGCTGCACTGCTGAATATCTAGATTATTTAACTACTACAGGTTCTCATCTCTACATTTAAGACACTAGCAACTCCATCCAACTCACTCTTATGGTCCCTCAGGATAGCAAGCATAGCTGGCAGGGATAAATGAGACCCCTACAATGAACCTTTTCCAAGGGAAAATGGGAGTGGCAAGCCCTCTGGATCCTCACTCTAGGGATTTATCAACAATGTCAATGTTCTCTGTGGTTCCTTCTGCAGTGTCATCTATGGCCTTGTGATCCGAACTATTTGGATTAAAAGCAAAGCCCATGAGACGGTGATTTCCAACTGCTCTGGTAAGGCTGTAATTCTCTCAACTCTCCTGCAGAACTTCTCCTCTAGTAATACAAACTGGGACTGCCTGGATCCACTAACCTACCTGGTTATAGCAGGACTCGACAACAGAGAACCCTCCCCCCAAAAAAATCTTCCCAGAGGGCTCTGTCTTCCATTCAGCATCTCTGAAAACTAGGGAAATAGTCTGGCGAGATGGTTGAGAATGTAAAGGCACTTGTTGCCAAGCTTGAGGACCTGAGTTCAATACCCAGAATTCACATGATAGAGAAAATGGTCTCCAGGAAGTTGTCTGCTAAACCCCCACAATAAGTAAATATATATATATGTATATATATATATTTGGGAGTAGGCAGAGGACACTTTAAGCTTGTCCAACTGTATGAGAACAGTCCCTTGTTCCCTTGTAGCAGTTTTTGAAGCAGCATGGGGATTCACTCCAGCTGTATGTCAGGCATGAAGAGCCTTGGGAGCACATGTTTACCAATCCTGAAGATGAGCTTCTAAGTTTGGCTTGAATTTAGAAATGGGTAAATCTACCATGTGATCACAAAATGATCTTATTCCTAAAGTCAAGCACAGCTCAGTGCACATGTTTCCCCTGCTATTCCAGTCCAAACAATACTGGCACTGAGACAGCCCTTCCCCAAGTTCCATTTCACTGAACTTAGCTGCAGGGCACCTCCAGGAGTGCCTGACTAGTTTACACTGGAAAAGACCTAGCAAACCGGCGAGTTGGAAAGAAGAAAGACTTCTGGATTTGCTATAATATGGCAGTTATGTAGAATGAGATTGCTCTGCTTAGGCCGCACACTCCTGCCATTCCTTATATTTCTTATGAGAACACACACACACACACTCACACACACACACACACACACATGCATAATGCACACATGCATGCATGTACACACACACATACACACACACACACATACACACACTCACAAACACATGCATGCATGTACACCATCTACACTCAGAAAAGGACCACAAAGTAATATACAAGTCTTTGGAAGAACTTGGCTTCTGCTCCAGATCTATCTCTTCGAGCTATGCCACCTTACAAAGTCATGTGACTTCCCTGGGCTCCAGTGAGCTAAATGAGTATCTGCATTAGATTCTTTGTAATCTTTGGACTTGAGTACCCTAATTCTGCACCAGCCATAGATGGAGCTTGGTTTATCATTGTGGAAGTTTCTTTTCCCACATGATATGAGACAGACAAGAGGATCCACAAGGTTTATTGAGTGTGAGCATATGTATCTCTTTCTCTAGAGATTCAGATTGGTATGTGAATCTCCATCTTAAAGTAGGTGTGTTCTGCTGTGTTCTCTCTCCTATATGCTGGAAGCAGTTTAGGGCAATGGGCACAAATCTCAGATGGGACAGAGGGAGAGACAGAGAATCTACTGTTGGTCACTGGGCATCCTTTCCATTTGCTACCTCTCTAATCACTGCCCAACTTCCAAGGTGATATTTTGTGGATAAAAGACAGGCTCAAATGCAAGGTGTCTTACAACTTCTGTATGTAGCACATTGGTGACATTACCAGGATTCAAGGGCACGGGAATGATGAGAACACCCACACTTTCCCCTTAAGCCACCCCACCTCCCACGAGGAAGAAAACTATAGAAAGAGATGGATGAGCGACTTTTCAAAGAGCTCAAATTAACCCATCCCCCAAAAAACATATTTATTAATAATCCAAACTCTCGGTCTTTAGCCCAGAATACCATCCACAGCACTCCCATGGAGCAGCCTCCCTGGCCCGTCTCTAAATCATCCGTTCTCTGTTTGAGGGTTCAGGAGCTGGTATGGTTATGATACCTAGGGTCCTGTTGTTTTTTCTGGTTTCAATCCTCTGTCCTGTGATTTCTGCCCATTGGAGAAGGTTGGTGTCCTACTCTCTGCCTACCCCCCTGAGCTCTCACCCTCCCTTCCTCACCCAAACAGTTCTTCTGTTGCCCACACTCCTCACCCAGTGAGATATGGTGACACTTACCTCGTTTTCCATGAGTTCATCGGTTAGAAAGAAGAGCAAGGCACCTATAGCCAGAGATCTGGAGCGATCTTCAGCAGGCCTCCCCATCACTGTGGGCTAGCTCCTTTCTCTCTGTAGAGTCCCCTGTGTTGTGTTTTTTAGTCACAACATTGGACTTCCCCACATTCCAAGACTGAATCAGTGCAAAGCCACTTAGAGATGTGCATCTACTAATAGACACAGCATTGCTTTGCCCGAAATTATAAATAACTACTGTCAGTTTTTGCTACTTAATATAATTTTGAGTCTCCATTACGCCTGTGTTTGGCTCCCATGACCTCCTTCCAGAATGAGGCTAGTTGTTATCCCCAGAGTATTTTATCCTGTCGGCCTTTTATTCATCAGTGGACTTTCCTCAACATCCCATGTGACAGCACAGCCAAGCCTCTCAGGAACTGGCATGTAACAGGGTCTCAAGCAGTGTTGACATGCCAGGGTTGTTGCTCATGAACAAGGTATATTGGCTAAGATTAGTGTGAACAGAAGCTCACTTTGTCAATACTGTCTGCCAAGCCCAAATCACCCTGAGTGTGGAGCCCTTCTTCTTCTTCTTGAAAATGTGTTTACTTTTCCCACCCAAAGGCTGACTCAATAAAAAAAGAAAAGGAACTGTTTCATAAATGACTCAAAGGCTTTCCCACAAGTAGATGTTGTAGACCTCAAATATTAGCTCTCACATGCTCTCATGTGTTTGAACTCTAGAAGAAACCAACTATACCTTAGGTGAGAGCATTTAATGCACAAAGACAAGAGACTGGGGAGGTAAAGCCATGACATTGACAATTATGCCGTTTCTGGAGAGAACTGGGTCTCACCGTCATGGCTTTGCCGGTGTGATGTGATCAATACTGTACTAAACGGCATGTTTTGAGTTCTATGAGGCAGAATGGGGAAGAGAAAAGCAAGCATAGGGTTAGGAAGTAGTGAAAGTTCCGCTTTTTAACTTGACAGCTTTACCTTGAGTCCATGAAGTGCTCTCAGCACCAGCCTCTTCAGTAACTGAGGGCAAACTGCTTTTCTACCTGTTTCTGACAAAAATGCTTGAGAGAAAATATGAAGATATGAGCAAATGACTATTGTGTAGGAATTTTGTAGCTACCAAGATTCCATATCATTAATACATTGGCTTGCCTCAGCTAATCTGCAAACTAATACAATTTCTATCAAAGGAGAATGAAAACATTTTATTGAGTCTGGTAGAGGTTTTTAAGACAGATAGAAAAGTTCAAGAGCCAAGAAAATCCAATTTATTCCTGGGAAAAAAATAGAACAAAGTAGAAATGTTTTTCTGTGCCAAACCTGATTTTTTTATAAAGTCAAAGCTGTTAAAAGAATGTCATTGACATAAAATAGATAACTGCAGAAAATAATATGGCCCAAAACAGATCTATACGTACATAAGGACTTGACATATGTCAGAAGATCATGGGGAAAGAAATTAAAACTTTACTTCAATCCATGGACAAACATAACTCCAGAGAAAATGGGTCTTATATGTAAAAATATTTTTCTTAATTTTTAAACAAAAGTTAGATAATATCTTTACGATGCTGGAAAAGATTTTAAGACAAGATGTGCTACATTAATTTGCAAGTGAAAATGCATTAGTTTGATGGTGTCAGCATTGTAAAATCCAATCTGCACACTCTAGGAGTGGCCCAGGAAAAGATGAGCAAAGAGAATGTATGGAGAACTCCTAAATATCAATTTTAAAGGGTGTTTTAAAGACAATCACATGTCAAAACTCAGCAAAACATGAAGAGGAATTTGTCAGAAAGGAAAACGAGACTCACAGCTCCATCAGTAATTAGGGAAGTGTGGGTTTAATTCTCAAGTAGATGCAACTGTCCACCCACAGAATTGGCCAAATCAAAAATGGTCTGATAAATCTAGGGCCTGGCGTGCACAAGAAGCTCCTGGTTTTCGGTTTACTTGGCAGGAACGCTCCTCACACCTGCATCATGTTGCTGCTTTGTTTGCTTTTCATCTGTCTCAAGGCTGGCAGCCATGACCAAGCTCCCAAACCCCAGATCTAAACCTGGCTTTTCTTTCCTTCCTAGTCCCCACCTCTCCACTTAGTGGAGACCATCCTACGGCCTCTGAAGAAACAAGTGGGAAGCCAAGTCCTTGGTCTGATCTTTGCCACAAGGACAAATCTTAAAAGGGTATTTTCGGGTTAAAATGTCTCAATGTTAATAGCTTCATTTGGGGATGGGGCTATTCTTGTCTGGATCTGCACACTTAGAAAAGGCACCTGACTGATTCAAGGTAGCTTTGTATTTTCACTTCTCAATAGGCCAAACAAGAAATATGTCCAGTGCAGACCAGAAGCAGTTGGTATTTACAGCTCTCCAAAAGAAATGGGGAGACTTTCTCTAACTCCTTTATTGTCCTTGTTAAGTCAACCAACTCCAATCGAAGCTCATTTCTTTTTCTCCAGTTCCTTCCTGAGCACGGCTGGTAACAAATCAATACAATAACAATCAAACTAATGCACGATTAGCACTCAGTTTACCACCCTCCCCTCCGGGCTCTGACAGTGTGGGCTCACAGATGGCCTTGCCAGGCTCAGTGTGGCCTCATCCTGCAAACAGACCACCAGCATCCCAGCTTCCTGCCAGTGGCTGCCTGTTTGCTCAGACAGTGTCTTGTGTTTTGTGTTTCTGTTAAGACATTTTATGTACAGTACCAATGTCGGCTAGGGGAAGGGAAACTCTAGCAGCTATATAAACTCTAAAACGTGAGTGCCCTTAACAAAACATAAGGATTTAAATATTTTTTTATTTTTATTTTATGTGTATGAGTACTTCCCCGTGTGTGTGTGTGTGTGTGTGTGTGTGTGTGTGTGTGTGTGTGTGCGTGTGTGTGTGTGTGTGTGTGTATGTATACACTATGAGCATGCTTGGTACCCAGGAAGACTGGAAGAGGGCATGGATCTCTTGGAACTGGAGATTTTTGCTAAACTGGAGGGTAGAGTACAAAAACAAATAATCTGTGAGTTTGTTGACACTTCCTCAGATACTGCTGTTACCTCCTGTTAGCATAAGATAATAAACAAATAGATGAGAGAGAGAGAGAGAGAGAGAGAGATAAGTAAACTTTGAAAAGGCCTCAGATAAGCAAGCTAATGGGTTGAGCAGGCACACCCCAAGACTAGAAAGGGACAGGAGGTTCTCCCACTGCTTTAAGGTCCAGGGGCTATGCAAGTTTGGGGTCAGATGTTACTTTGCGGCATAATCACACTCCTTACTTGTAGTCATGGGGCATGGGGAACTGAACGTGAACTTCAAGATGCCAAAAGTCCTGGAAGATGCCTCAGCTCTGCTCAGATCCCTGAGACAGCCAAGCACAGAAAGCGAAGCCATGACTCCAGTCCCAGTATGTGAAGGTTGAGAGCAGGTAGCCCCTGGTCCGGCAGTGATGCTGACCTGTTTGCAACCAAGCAACTGAATGCAACCGACCCAGAGTCTTGAAGCAGAGAGCATGGACACGTGGGTCTTCAGAGAGTTCACAGAGATCGTTCTAAAGAGGCTGCAGCTGTTGCTCAAATGTGCCCAAGCCAGGGCCTCCACAGGGGTGGCCAGCAGTGGGGGGCGGAGGAATGGCAGCAATGATCCACACCTGGCCAAAGCAAAGTAGTGACCTGGGAAAGTGGTAGCCTGTGAGACTGAGACATTCTGAGATGCACCCTCGAGTTTGAAAACTAGCCCCAGAAGGATCCTGGGAAGGAAATGGCTCGCCCAGTAGTTGAGCAAAGAAGGCCCAATGAGATAAAAGCATTTAACTGAGAAGCTCCAGGGGCAGCTGGGTTATATTTGCAGATGAATAAAATTCTTATTTTTTTAATATTTTAATTATTTATTAGGTATACAATCTTCTACCTGCATGCCAGCAGAGGGCATCAGAGCTCGTTCAAGGTGGTTGTGAGCCACCATGTGGTTGCCGGGAATTGAACTCAGGACCTTTGGAAGAACAGTCAGTGCTCTTAACCGCTGAGCCACCTCTCCAGCCCCTAAAATTCTTATTGATCAAAATTAATTATAAGTTTTAAAAACTTCAAAATGTGCATTTTAATGAACCTGAAAGTAGACAGCATTCCAACATGTGAAACTTGCTTTAAAACATTTCCAGATATACTTCCTTGTTTCAAACAAACCACCTGCACACATTCCAGGTCCTTGCAGTGGGGTGTGGAGTGTGTGTGTGTGTGTGTGTGTGTGTGTGTGTGTGTGTGTGTGTGTGTGTGTAGGGGAGCTTCTCCCTATGCAACAGGAATGAAATTCACCTCAATTCAAAGTTCCAGAGGGTGGTGCTTCCCCAGTATGTGGTGTTTCTGTAGCATAGCAGTTAAAGTTTCAGAGGACCGGTGCCCAGTTCCAGAGGCTGGGGCCACATAGAGAATGGGATTCTGTGCCAGCAAGATACATTCATGATGACATATATATTCCGTTCTCCACAATAACAATTATGTAATTAGAGACTGGAGAGATGGTTCAGTAGTTAAGGGCACTGGATGCTCTTCTAGAGGTCCCAGGTTCAATTCCCAGCCACCATATTTTGACTCACAACTATTTGTAATGGGATCTGATGCCCTCTTCTGGAACGCAGGTACACATGCAGGCAGGCTGAGCACTCATACATTAAAACAAACAAACAAACAAACAAAACCCAAACAAATAAAACTTCGAAGAAAAAGGAGTAAAAATAACTATATAACTACATAAATAAACAAATAAGAAATAACAAGGTCCTGGTAACTCTGAAAGGAGTCAGAATCCCTGGAAAAGTTAGAAACTCAAGTTGACCCTTTGGAGACCAAATTTCTGGCATGGTCCTATTATGGTTGCACCCTGGAACTAAAGCAGTGTTAGCATGCTTTTTCCAGCTTCAGATCTAATGAGCCTGCTGCCTCCCAGCTTCCCAAGCCATTCATCCGGTGACAGCTGAATTTCCCTGCGTTCAGTACAGCTCAGTGCCAAGTCCTGAGTAGAAATAATCCTTTTATCTCCCAATAAAAGGGAATTACCTGTATTCTGTAACTCAGCTCTCTTTGAAGAGCTGTCTTTGGAGCTGGAGGCTTTGCATTTCCTGGAGTGGTCACATTAAAGATGATTTTCACTGATCTCATTGGGAGATCCAGAGGGCAGGGAGTTGATGATATTGTCATCCAGTCACCCTGTAGAAAGTGTTGAGATTTTCCATTTTAAAAGATCTCAGAGCACAAATGTCATTCTCAAAAACTTTCTGAAAGACAAATTAAGTTTTCAAAGCCACACTGTTTAGGGACCAGCTGTTACCTTGGGCCAGCATGTAGGGACACTTCGAAAGGACGTAATTTGATCTGCTATCATCTTTCCATGCCCCTATGGAGATAATCTCACCCTGATAATTTCCTGCAGTCTATGGCAACACCATTGTATAATAGACTATCTAGGGTAGTAATACTGTCAGTTTTCTTCTACAAAGACAACTCACATTCACCTCAAAACACTATGAAAATGTAATTCATTTCAAGTGACAAGGTGACTGGAATGCCAGTCTAGAGCTTGAAACCTGGAATACATTTTTATTTTATTTTCCAAATTAGGAAACCAAGGCTGGGAACTTTAGGCAACTTTCCCAAGTTTTCCAAAGGTAATTCACTGAGTGTGTGTGAAGGTTCCATGTCTTATGGAGAGGAGGAACTCTGAGAGTAATAATTCCTTCAGGCAAGAAATGTGGACAACATTCCATCTCCCAGTCACCTTCTCCTTACTCATTTCTTTAGATCTATTGCACTTCCGGCATATCTTAATCAACCTTAGTTTTTAATGACTACTTCTTGATCATAAGAAGTAGATGTTGATTTATTGAACACCCATGGGCTTGAATTATGACAAAGCCCCTCTCCACAGACTCTCATAGTCATCCCTTGACTATCTGGCCCTCAAATGACAGTCACATACTGTTAGAGTTTCTGTGCAGGTTCAGATGTGACTGTGTCCTGTGACTTGGGCCTTACAGAAAGCAGAATTTCATGGGGAGATTGGTGAATTGGTCTGGAGAAGCCAGTCTAGGGGGTAGCTGAAATGACTGCATAGGTATCTCAGCACACCTCAAGCCTGAGAGCAGTCTTCAACAAGCAGGCTCCACCCCTTGTAGCTGTGTGGTCTAATTCCAGCTATGGCTGACTCAGGCAATCTGATCTTACCTTATAACAGAGTATGGGCAACCAGTGGCATTGGCACTCAGGTGCAAATTGAACAACTACTAGCAACCATCCCTGAACCATCTTAGTCTATGACTGCCCCAAAGGAAAGGATGTAAGCAGGTTTGCAAGACTAACCTTCAGCCTTCTTATTGACAGAAATCATCTTGCCTGTTTTACTGTCCCCTTTTTTCTATCTACAGATGGCAAACTATGCAGCAGCTACAATCGAGGGCTCATCTCAAAAGCAAAAATTAAAGCCATCAAGTATAGCATTGTCATTATCCTCGGTAAGCCATGTTCCTCCTTGTGGTACAAATTTGTATGTCATTCTGAAGACAAGCTGGTGATGGGAAGGTCATGCAGAGAAGGAATGTGTGACAGGCATTTCTACCTTTCATTGGGATGAAGGGTGCAGGAATCACCAGTGTTTCTGGCCAATAATTGGCTCCTAATCCCTCTCTCTGTGAATATAGTTGCCCCCTAAAACCACAGGGTGGATCACTCAGAGAAGATATGATTAGGATGGAACACCTGGAGCTTATAAATAAATCAACCTCTACTAGGTTGCTCCATTTAAGACATTGTCTCCCCCTGCACACACACAAAAAAAGGAGTAGACGTGCATTGTTTTTCTTCTGGATATTTAGTTTCAGAGTCAATAATGCTTCCCTTATAACCACAGTTTATATCCCTCACTCTTCTTGTCTTCGGTTCTTTTCTTTCTACATTTAAAATCCATAAAGTCAGCTTGCACTGCTGTCTGTCAAAGATGGTCAAGCAGATGCGTGGCTTACTGCCTCTTATTTTGTTCCCCAACAATAACGCCTCCTCAGGCTTCCCTGACCAGGCTTCTTAAAATAACTCTCCTCTAGTTGCATCCCAACTTGGTGGTTCTTCCCTGTTTCCTATTTGTATCTAACATGAGACATGTTCATAAATGGAGTTTTAGTAAAATGTATCTTGATACAGGGAATATATATTTCTTTATTAAGTCTACCTTTCTTGCCACAATTATAAATCCATGAAGGCAATGACTTGCCCTTGAGTTACTCATGTTATCTCAAAACCTAAAATTAGGTTACACATTCACTACTGAGTCAATATTTGTATAATGAACAAATGGATGCAGACATAGAAGAAGGGAAGGGATTTGTGCAGCTTCCTTTTTATTTAGCTGATATACCCATCTCTTCTTCTTTAGAAGCACTGAGAATTCCCCAAGAGGGCCCTAGCTGTGTGTCAAATCACAAGAATAGCTCTTCTCCCCTTTTGAAAATACAAAAGACCAGACAGACCACGCTCAGCATGACTCAGCCATCAGAGTATGGGCCCACAGCACACTGCCATCTGAGCTTCAGACATACTCACAGCGCACCAAGGCTCTATGAACACTTTCAGAGGCTTCTGGAGAAGCTCGAAGGTTCTTTGCCTTCACAGCCAGCGTCATAGATGCCCATTTTCTGGATGATGAGAGAGGAAATGAATGCTCAGACATGAATCTGGTGTATACCTGTTTCAAAAAGTTATATTCAATCCCTATGAGGTCTGTTCAGTGTGGAGGCAGGGGTGCCCACAGGCAGGTCAGCATGCTGTCACAATGAAATGGCCTATATAACAAGTATTATGTAATGCCCTTTTACCATCCTAAAATGATGAGTATCAGTAGTACTAACTACTACATTTTTAAAGTCAGCACATTACTCTAATAATTATCTAGAGTAAGAATAAAATTAAAAAACAACTTACAATAGAGCAATACCAATTTTTATATGTAACTATATGGGCACAACTACACTGGAAGAGTAATAAAGAAGTCAGATGCCTACACCTGTACAGCTACAAGTGACAACCAATATAGATGTTTCTTGGAGACACACAGATATAAGCAAGTTTTATTGTCACTAACCTGATTTTCTGAGCAGGCAAAGAAACCCTGGGAAGGCTTCAAATTAAACAAACACTGTCTAGAAGGGAACTGTATTTCTGAAAGCTTCAATGTTTATTAAAAATATCCAGGTGTACCTATAAAAATGGTTAGCTCTCTAAACTACAGTAACTATATGCAGGATCCTCTCATACATAAACGCCATCACAAAACATATGTGATACAATACTGAATCACTGAACTGTTGCCTCCAATACTGAATCACTGAACTGTTGCCTCCAACATGTAGGAGGACTGACATTTCTGCAAAACACACACATGCACGCACACACACACACACACACACACACACACACACACACAGAGAGAGAGAGAGAGAGAGAGAGAGAGAGAGAGAGAGAGAGAGAGGTATTCATGAATGCATGAACATGCATGTACAGAAGCAATGTTGTCCTTGGTGCACAAAACAATTTCAAAAATTGTGCAGGAAAAAGTTGATCTTATTTTTTAATAACTCTCATTTAAGACATCAACAACATTTACAGGGGGGAAATTATGAATTAAATTCTCATTTCCAAATTCAGAATAAAGTTCCTTAGTTCCTATCAAATGATAATGGAGCATAGTTGCCCCTGCATGTAGATGTCCATGAGTGCTGAAATTCTACTCTGGGAAATATGGGTGAGAAAGGAACAGGGAAATAAAGTTACAATGAGGTGACAAGATAGAAAGGGAGCAGGTTTGTGTACAGGTGCCCAAGATTATGCAGTTCTGTGTTTGCTTGTATTATCCAGAGGAATGGCAGAAAAACAGGTGGTAGCTAGTTCTATAATAGAGAGATAGATGACATAGCTAGATGGATGGATAGATAGATAGATAGACAGACAGACAGATAGATAGATAGGTTTTCTATAAGAAATTACTTCATGGGCTCATAAAATATCAAGCTCCACGGTGGGGTCAGAAGCCTGGGATAGCCACTAATGTAAATTAAAATCCATATCTGAACCCAAAGATTCCAGAATAAAATTGACTCTTTATGTTCCTGTTTAACTTCAAGTGTGGACCATTGTTCCACACTTGATTCTCAAATAGTACCAAGCAGAGAAAATGAATTCTCATTAGGTCCTTCTTGTTATATTTATACCTTCAATAGATCAGATGAGGCCTATTCACCAGAAGAAGGCAAAATCTCTCACAGAAACATCCTCAGACATATCCAGAGTAATATTTAATCAATGTCTGGGCAACTTGGATCCTTGTCAAGATGACCATAAATTGACCATCACAATTGAGATTCCCACATTCCATTCCTATCTTTTGAGATACTGAACTTGCATACATTTGATTTAGACAAGAGTATTGGGTGAATACTTTTGGGAGAGGTTAACTTAGACATAGAAAAGAAATGAGATCATGATGATCTCATTTATGGTCCATACTTTAAAAATATCAGCATCACTTTTTCCTTCTGTATGTTCTAGAAGTAGTAATCAATGTGGTCAGCTTCCATCCTGTTTTGTCTGTTTCAGGGCATATCTAAAGGGTCTTGGTCACTTTTCTTCAGCACTGTGATGGAGGGGGGAGAATCTGGCCATACCAAGCAGATCCCAGACTTTCGGCACTAAGTCTTCACCAGTGGAAATTTAAGCCCCCTTTTCAGGTAGAGGGGATTCAGGAAATCTCATCTTTGGAATGCTGTCTCTGGAACACGTGCATACCCATACACATATTTAAACAAACGTGACAGTCATGACAATCACGCCCAGGCCAGAATTCCTGGGGGAGCTCTAGCGCCAGAGAACATGATGGTTAAAATTCCAGTCATGACCAACCAAGAGCAATGCTTCGGTGTGGCCACGATGGTACTGATGGCTCTCCTCTCCATAGCTTTCATCTGCTGCTGGAGCCCTTACTTCCTCTTTGACATGCTGGACAATTTCAACCTCCTTCCGGACACCAAGGAGCGTTTCTATGCCTCCGTGATTATCCAGAACCTACCAGCCCTGAACAGTGCCATCAACCCCCTCATCTACTGCATGTTCAGCAGCACTATCTGCTTCCCCTGCAAGTAAGCTGTGTACTCACTCATGCCCGACACACCAGCAGCTTTTACATAGAATTCTTGTATTCTTCCAAAAGCTCATTAGCGACCTACAGAACTCCCATTTCACAGATGAGGTCTTTAAAGGTTAGGAAGTCCCAGCTAGTCTGACGGATTCAAATCCAGGCTCAGGCCACAACAGAGCTTCACATGTGCAAACCCTGATTTTGATGGGAGCTTCTGCATTTGAACTGCCTCCGTATAGCCCTGCTGGGAATATGATGTGGGACATTTTTATCACTTCAGAGGTAAAGTTTTACAAAGTAAGGCTCACAAGACTTAGTGACATTGTTGAGGTTATACTGATCATTAGTCACAGAGTTGAAATTTAATCTCCTGACAACTACTGCCATTCTGCCGTTTTTTTTTTTAATCTGTTCTCATCAGATACGGAGTAAATGGAGAAATTCATAGCACAGAGAATAGTAATAGGATAGTTTAAGGCAGTGGTTCTCAACCTTCCTAATGCTGCAACCCTTTAGTACAGTTCCTGTTGGTGCTGTGACCACCAACTGTCAACTTATTCGGTCGCTACTTCATAACTGTAATTTTGTTACTGTTATGAATCATAACACAAATATCTGGCATGAGACTCCCAAAGGGGTTGCGACCCACAGGTTGAGAACCACTGGTTTTAGGTTTTTGTTTAATGATGGCAACTAAGGTTCAGGTCCTGCTCTAGAGAACCATATGTGAAGTTGGGCTACAAACACCCGAAATCAGATGATGTCTCTGTCTACTAGACTGTAATGATGGAGGAAGGGTTTTGGTTGCTACTGCTTAACAGGTGTCGGTTCTTTAATGACCTTTCTTGACTGTTAACCCTTTAGCATCTCTGCTGCCTTTTCATCGGGTTAAATGAATTTCCTCTACCTCTTTATTCTGACATTTGCTAGGGAGCAGAGGTCACAGGACTCCAGAATGACATACCGAGAGAGAAGTGAGAGGCAAGAGATGCAGATCCTCTCCAAGCCGGAATTCATCTAAACCCTGAAGCAGTGGTGCTACACCGAGCACATCAGCCCTCCTGGAGCTCCATCACCAGTTAGTGGATGTGCATGAATCTTGAGCCAGCCCACCCCCCCCAATCCTGTATCACCTAGCAGTTGCATGAGGCAAACTTTCCAGTGAGAGCATGCCAGCTGCAGTGCGAGCACTAGCCAACATGAACCCATCACCTCTTCATGTCACCTAGGAAAAACACTTCTCTCTTCCTAATTTCCCCCAGCCCTCCTTCCCACAGCTCAGCATCTGCACCAGCAGTGGCCCTGGGTCCCTGTGACATGACGACACAGACAAGCAGAAAGATATCAGGGGGCTATCCCTATGTCATCTAATTATAATTTTTAAAGTAAATACAAGACTTAACAAAGATTAGACGTCTTTCTATCTGTTTTGTATTGGAAATTTGTTTGGTATAGATGAGATGTTTGCCCCTGAAATGCCAAGAAACTCACATGCAAAGCCTGGTACTGTACGCATCCTCTGTGTGCAGGAGGGGTTGGCAAGAGCAAGCCCCAAGCCTATAGCATTGTGATTTCTTAAAGGGACAGCACAGCTTCCTGCTGAACTAGGTCACCATGTAGGCACATTCTCACCAGCAGAAAGGTCACACCAAATAGTGACAGACCCTTGACCATGAATCCCAGAGAGTGCAGAGACCTGGAACTTGTGGCTCTTTGAGACTGCATGAAGACTTTCCCTCCCTGTATTCAACATTCAAGCCACTATGAGCTCCATTCCATACACCTCAGGGACATGTCTGCCCCTTATCACTCTCAGAATCATCTTCAGCTGGGAACTCAGCTCTGTGGCTTTCCCAACATGATGTTCTTGCAAGCTCTTTGCTGTCTGTGTGCCGTAGCCTTTGTCTATCTGACACCTCTGCAAGGAAGTGCTGGTGGGGCTTATTTTGACAGGTCTGCAATTCAGTATTTATAAGTATAACTCAAATGAAATATGACTAAATGTTTTCTAGTCAATTTTTTTCTTCAGATTTTGCCAGAAGTGGAAATGGCATCATTTGACTGTGTGTACATCTCCACCCACGGCCCTGTGACGCTCGTGAGCATCCTATATTTAGCTTCTCATACAGTCTTTGACATTGAAATCTCCTTGGCAAAATCATCCCTTCCAGAGTTTAAACCTTTTCTTGTCCTTTTTGCTGACTGCTGGGTAGACTCATTAATATGTTCAGTCTATTTTAACAACACCTCATTCCTCATTATTGGGTCAGCTCAGAGACAGCCTGCTTAAGGTCATGGTGGCAATTTTTCCCCAAATTTATTTTTCAATTTCATCTGACATTAGGGAAATCATCTCTTTAGGCAAAAATCAGACACTTTACCAAGTGTCTCTCAAAAAATTATTTCCTAAGTTTGAGGAGCTAGAATAATTTACCTTTCTGTCCACCCAACAATTTTGAAGGCTACTTCACTCTTCCTCCAATCAGCTAAACACGAGCAGGCAGAAGCTCTGAGTGGCTGAGAAGAACTTTTCAACATTTCCCTTTAAATCAAGATGTACCACAGAAGACTCACTGAACTGTTGCCGAAATAGCTGCCTGTGCAGGAGCCAATTAACAAGCAGAATCTGGCGGGTATCCTGGCTAGCAAAACAGGAGGCCCAGGTTCCTGATAGATGTTCTCAATCTCTGTCAGGTTCTGGTCTGCAGGATGTGTCACATGTCTACACCATCCATCAATCGATTCTTAAAGTTAAAGATAGAGTGCGATGAGGGCCATTGTGCCATCTGTGGACTGTGTAGATAGCTGTTTTGAGGATCTGTCTCTCATCCGCAGAGCAGCCTGGAGATCAGAAGATAATGGGACAGATTTCCGTAGGAAGCCGCCATTTAGGCAGAGCTTGATTTATACTGATATGGAGTCTGAAATCTTCATCGACATCATTTTCCTAACTTGGGAGACAGTCTAAGCATGTTAGTCAGAAGTCTTATGACCTTGGGTGATTCATCCTGTGTCTCTGGGCGTCACTCCTCTGTCTGTAACATGGGGCCAAAATAACACTGGAACAGAGGGTGTCGAGGTCTGGAGCCCGTGATGGATTAAATTAGACCTGCAGAAAGTTCTGCTAGACTTCTTCCCTTTCAAGACTAACACTTCAGTGACTCAAGGTTGAGTCATTTGCATTTTGGAGGTATGACTTTTATCTTTACCAGATGAACTCAGAAACTAATATAGCATCCCAACCAGGAAAGAGTGTGATGCTGTATAGAAAATCACTATGTAAGCCACAACCTTGCTATCTATAGCCTTTGATGCTCCACAGGACTAGAAAAGGCAACACCGTGGTGTATAAAATGAAAGTGTATACTATCCACACTAAGATGTCAAGGATGTGTGTATACATTATTGCACAGCTTCAGGGACAGGTAAAGGTTTGGGTTAACAGAGTAGCTGCATTTAATATGTTCAACCACAGTACAGAAAATGGCTCTGGCTCTGCTCTACTGAACTAAATTCACTGTGGTTAAAGAGTCTTCTCCGTCAGGGCATATTTGCAACTCAATTTAATTAAGGTTTAATTTCATCACGAGATGGTTCCCACAGGCCGCCCCGCCCCTTCCCCGATGCACTAATAATACCTTGTGAATGACTTTCCACTGTGATAACAATGAGAATAAAGCACCTTTGAACTAGTCTAACAAACGTCTCAGGCTTTCTCCCCAGTCTCATTCAGACAACTCTGCACAGAAACATGCAGAAATGACCTTGTCTCTTCCTTCTATATTCACAGCGTGCATTTAAAATGGCTGAAGGCCTCCATTTGGTGAGAAAACAAGAAGATGAAAAGCATTTTTGTGTCACGAAATAAACTGATTCTAGTTTTGTGTTTTAGTTGACATTTCAGGCAGACCACAAGCCTGCTGCTGGCAGCCTGAGCCTGGTTTTGTGTATTGTTTTGTTTTGTTCCAGTCATCATTTGAGTATAGCTCATTGTGTATGCAGGTCTATCAGCATTCTCTACAGCCTGGAAACCCCAATTCCAGTAAAAGGAGAAGCTTTACCAAGCTGCCAACCTTCTTGCTTGGAGAAATATGAAACAGCTATGTCTCATTTAAGAATTGATTATCCACAATAGGACTGGAACAGTTAACATTTTAAACACGCAATTCCATCCTTACAGAATGTTTAAATGAATGGGAGTCTTCTCAGTGACTACTAAAAAAGGTCTTGGGGGTAACCCAAAGTTCCTAACACCATTGCTTATGAACCTAAAGGGGAGTAAATATAATGACAGTATGTCAAGCTCCTTGAATTACTTTAAATGAGCATAGAATGTATATCAAGACCTCGCATAAAGCATTCAGTATGAACAGAAGCAATACGTAACTTCCAGATTAAAACAAGATAAAGCTTGACATAGTAGAAGACACCTGCAATTCCAGCACTTGGAAGATAGAGGCAGAATGATCAGGATTCAAAGCCATCCTAGTCTACATAGAGCTGGAGGCCATTCCTGTCTGAAAGAGCAAGAGGGTGCAGAAAGAGAAAATCCCTGTACCTCTACCTATTCCCCAACCTATCCCACCCCAGCATCTCTTCAGCGTTGGGTAGCTAATACTTTCTTTGTGAAAATATATTCAAGTGAGATAAAGAGAACATTTGTTTTTCTGTGCTTGGCTCATTTCACTTAACTCAGTGTTTTCTAGGCTCCCTGTGTTTCTGCTAAGAACAGGAATGCATCCTCTTTATTCTAGGGTGCAGGAAACCATAATACTTCTTTATCCATTTCTTTGTCAATGAACACATTTTTTGATCACACATTGTGCCTGCAATGAATACAGGAATACAGGTTATCCCTTATAAAGTGTCTTAGTTAGGGTTTTTGTTCCTGTGAAGAGACACCATGACCATGTCAACTCTTATAGAGGAAAACATTTAATTGGGTAACTTGCAGTTCAGAGGTTTAGTCTGAACTGTATCATTATAGTGGGACATGGCAGTGTTTAGGTAGGCATGGTGTTGGAGAGGGAGCTGAGAGTTCTACATCTTGTCTGAGCAACAGGAAGTGGTCTGAGACATGGGTGTGGCTTGAGCATATGTGAGACCTCAAAGCCAGTGACACACTTCCTCCATCTAGACCACACCCACTCCAACAAGTCACACTTCCTAATAGTGTCACTCCCTGTGGGGGACATTTTCTTTCAAACCACCACACCAAGCTTTGTAATTTAACTGATAACCAAGTGTTAGTTAATTTAAAAAAAAAACAACAAAAAGAAAACAAGAAGAAGAGGGTTATACAACAACTGGGACAGATAGAAAGGAAATAGGAAGATGATAGATTTTTCATCCAAATTTAACAACTATAGTAAATGAAAATAAATTTTTCCAGCTGGTAATAAAAAATGTCATATCAGATCTTTTAAATGTGCAATTATCTGTTCCTTATAAAATAATAATGATTTTAAAATGCCCAAAACAGAAGGATTCAATAAAACTGAAATAAAGCAATGAGCCCAGCAGGTCATGGAAACATTAGCTAAAAGAAAGGTACTATACTCCATAGACACAGATGAAGCAAACATCAAGGCTAGCAATAGGCAGAGCTAAACAGAGATACTTTGTAATGATAAGTATTTTAGTTTAATTAGATAGAAAATAATTCTATATTTATCTGCATTTAAAAACACAGCCTCAGGATGTATGTTTTGAGGTGTCAGAAATAGGAGAAAATGGAATGCAAAATGCACAACTATAGTGAAGAATTTTATTGCACTTAATTCCAATAAATGAAAGCACGCAAACTCAAGAATAGGCTGAATAAATCATCTACCCCTTCCACTTCCCTAAGGAACCACATGCCCTGTGTCTGCCTTCAGACTCTTCTTGTACCCCTTCCCCTTCAGGTAGGGACCACAGACTAACACCACAAACCAGGGTTCCATCTTTGCCTGGAACCCTTGTCTCTCTCCCTCTAACCACACCCATCTCATGCCTTGAGGGACATTCCTCTCCAAACAAAAGTGCTAGAGTCAAGCCACTAACTCCATTCATCTCTTCGGTCAGTCCTCCATTCACCCTCTCTAGGTCAGGACCCCACTCACACTGTCTACCCAACCTACACTTTCAACTTGCCTGAGTACTGCCTGTCCCCTACCTGCAGATGCCTCCAACATCCACTGTCTATGTATGGAGCCTTGACTCACATTGCCAACTACACTGGTTCCCACTGCCTGAGAAAAAGTCCAAAGTACCTCCACTAGATGCATGAAAACTAGTTGTGAGACCCTACCTCTACAGATGGCCTGCTCCTGGGCTTAGAAACTTTACCTGGCTGGAGCTGAGTTGTGACTAATTTCTGTACCCCATTCAAATACCAATACTGATTTGCCTCAAGACTTAATTCTGAGGCCCATTGACCCTGTCACTGAGGGTAATATGAAACAAACCCAAATATCAACTTAACAAAGGAAAGAAAAAAGTTCTTTACCAAGATATATTCTAAAAACCTATCTCCAGATTCCTAGGTCCAATCACCAAAACACAAACATGAATAATGAGGTCTCTAAAAAAATTTCATATTTCCACCATATTGTTTCTAGATGACAACATATGAAGACAATGATTTTGAATAACCATGGTCACGGAACTCAGTGAATGATGAGTCAATGCCAGGATGTAGACAACAACACAACAGGTAAATGAATGATGAAAGCAATTCAAGATACATGAATGTTGTGGAATATTCCTTTATACTGTTTGAAGATATGCCAGTGTGATTGGTTTAATAAGACACTAAATGGCCAATAGTTAGGATTTAGGGATCAAATAATGCTGGAAAGAAGAAAGGTGGTAAAGCCAGCCAGACATGGAACAAGTCAGACACAAAAACAGGAATAGAGGTGAATGTCACATGGTAAAATATATATTTCTAAAAATATGGGTATATTTAAGTTATGAGCTAGTTATAAACAAGCCTAAGCTATCATGAGTTCTCATAATTGATAAGAAGTCTCCATGTGTTTTTTTTTGGGGAGCTTGCTGGTAGGACAGAAAATGTCCAACTACACACACACGCAATATATATATATATTTATTTATTTATATTAAATATATATGATTTAATAAAATGATAAAATCTCTAAATAAAGGTCAAAATGTAATAAAACTCTAAATTAAAAAGTCTGGAATTCAAACAAAAAAAAGGGTGAGAGGAAAGTCTTCCCAGAAGATTGGGTCAAGCAGAAGAGAGAATATCAGGCCTAGGAGGGAAAGAACGTGAATTGGATACTCAATCAGAGAAAGGGTAAAAAGAGCATGCATTAACCCTGAAACACTATAAATAATGCAAGCCTATTTAAAAAATAAGTATGCAAGAGCTACAGCTCAAAAGCACAGAAAGTATTTCCAACAAAAATCATAGAAGAAGGCTTCCAAAATCGAAGATTCAGGAGGCATAGAGAACACCAAATTGTATCAGAAAAGAAACACCACACATCATAATAATAGTCAAAATCCTAAATACACAGAGAAACGGTATTGAAAGTCTCAAGAGAGAAAGATCAAATCAAACATAAAATGAAAATACCACATTCCAAAATCTCTGGACATAATGATGGCTGCCCTAAGATGAAAGATTATATCACTGGGTGTCTACACTGAAAAACTAGAGAGATCTCAACAAACTATATCTCAAATAAATGTCATAATTATGCATCCGAGACACTTAAGGAAACAAGAATAAACAACACCCCCTAAGATAGATGGGAAGAAAATAAAATCAGATGTGACTTCAGTGGAATTGCTCAAGACTATCCACTCTCTTCATATCTATCTAACATAGTACTTGAAATTCTAGATAGAGCAATAAGACAACAAAAAGAAATGAAGGAAATAGAAATTGGAAGGGAAGAATTCAAATCACTATTTGCAGATAATGTGATAGTATACATAAGCAACTCCAAAAATTCTATTACAACTCCTACAGCTAATAAACACATTTTGTGAATTGGCTGGATACAAGATTAACTCAAAAAGAAAATCAGTATCCCTCTTATATACAAATTCTAAATGGGCTGAGAAAGGAATCAGGGAAACAACATTCTTCACAAAAACCACATACATATAAATTATCTCAAGCAAGTGAAAAACCTGTATGACAAAAACTTCAACTCTTTGAAGAAAGAAATTGGAGAAGACATTGGAATATAGAAAGATCTCCCATGCTCATGTATCAGTAGGAGTTATATAGTAAAAATTGTAATCTTATTAAAAGGCATCTACAGATTCAATGCAATCCTCATCAAAAGTCCAACACAATTCTTTTCAGGCCTTGAAAGAACAATACTCAACTTCATATGGAAAAACAAAAAACCCAGGATAGCTAAAACAATAGTGTTCAATATAAGAACTTCCAAGGGTATCACCATCCCTGATTTCAAGCTTTAACATAAGGCCATAATAATAGAAACAGTATGATATTGGCATAAAAATAGACAGGTGGATGAATGGAATTGAATTGAAGACCCAGACATAAATACACATGTGCCAGAGTCCAGCTCCAGTAGGGTTCTGAGCCACAGGACAGAGGTGTAAAGTTGGCAAAAAATGAAGAATCTGATCACTAGTTGTCTTTCAAAACAGATGGCATCAAACAGCTGAAGCAGTTTTGTTGTTGTTGTTGTACACGTTCTAATGC